CCCTGCCCAGCCCTCCCCGAGGCCGGAGTCGTGCCGGCGGCGCCCTGCGCTGCTCCAGCACGGGGTTAGGAGGTCGTGGTTTTTCGGAGCAGGGACATAACCTGCGGCCTGTGAGCGAGGGCTCAGAGGAGGGAGGAGTAGGGAAGTATGAGGGCTCAGGAGTGTGTTCTCCGTTGCAGAAGTAGAGGTAGAAAGAGCTGGTTCGAGAGGGTGGTTAAATTGTACAGCAAGGAATAAAAGAAGCCTTTCTCTTGTGGTCTTTCTCCTTCTGCTTACAGCCTTCCACTCCTTACTCGGGAGATGAAGTATCAACATACTCGTTTGCTGTTGGCATTGTAAAGTCGTGTTATACATCGCTTAATGTTAAAACCACACTGTTGTGAACTAACAGGGTCACAAGTATCTAGTGTATTTTCAGCTGTAGAGATAATACAGAGAGGAAATGTACCTGTAATGAGCGAGGCTTTCTCTCAGATAGGTTTTCCAGTTTTCTCAGTCAAATTGATGAATAGGTTGATTTCACGTGAGTCTTTAGTTTTGCAAAGTGTTTAAAATGTGTGTGAAAAACACGATGCAAAGAGGAGTGAAAATGGAGCATTTGACCTTAGTTTGTTACAAGTACCTGGAAGAAGAAACTATTTGTCTTCGCTATATGGCTGGATCACCTTGAGGCAGTGTAGTTCAGTACCTAAATCTGAACAATTCAGTACCTCTAGTGAAGTGATGGACTTTTATGTGCTTTCTTTATTGTTTATTATGAAAAAGTAACAAGAGTTTTATGCTTAAGATTTTACTCTCCCTGGGTTACCATCTGGCAGACAAAGATTAAGAACAAATCCATTGAGTATCGGGAAGTTGAGTTGACATGGAAGGATGCTCTTGTTTTTGTTTTGAGGCTTGTTCCTACCTTCAGGGCAAGTTTTCTTATTTATGCTTCTAATTCTTGAAGCAAGTATACAGGATTTGCAGTTTCGGTGGCACAGAGTACTTAAGGTCTTGGAGATGAGCATAAATTAAATATATGGGTTTATTATGCATTAGTTTGTGTTCTCTGTCTTTGAGTTGAACAGGGTGAATTCCTTGTACCAATGTAGCTTTTTAACTTTTCTTTATAGAATCTTATTTTTGATCTTTGATAAGATTCTAACACTTTGAGGTAGATTGTTTGTGAAATGCAAAGACTTAAAGCCAAAATCATCCAGGTACATTTGGGCAGTTTTACTATTATTTTTTGATTAGTTCTACTGTTAAAAGGCACAGCTGCAATAGTTTTCTGCTAGAGAGCATGTAATAAGTGTCTTCAGCAAATAGTTGCTGTTTAGTCTCCTCATCAGGAATAAAGCTGTGTCTCATCAGGAATAAAGCTGTGTCTGTTGGTAGTGCTTGGAACCACCCTTGTGCTTTTTATGCCACCCTACAGGTGGCACATATTCAGTGTGATGGCAGTGTCAGTGGTGCACCGGAGATGTTTTAACTCTTGCCACTGACCAGAGTGTTAAGGCAAGTGATTTCTAGTCTCTGTAATTCCAGTGATGTTTAGGTCTCTGTTCATGTAGGACATTTCTCCAGAAGATGCCATGTGGGCTCCTGGCTTGTGGAACTGTGGACCTGTGGCCAGTAGGGCCTGGGTGGTTTTCTTTTTGTTAGCTTCATAGGGCTTAGGTTTGAATCAGTTACTGACTGACCACCTAGAGACATTGTGCTGGCTGACCATGCAGTCCCAGGATTTTTACAGCTTGAGCTTATTGCAGATGTTCTTTTCCATGCTTCTTTCCTAGTCTTTGATATAGATGCATGATTCTGCTATTTCTTAATTCTCAGTGACTTCTTTAGAAGACTTCATAGGTAAAATGTTTCAGTTTCTTTAGCTAAACTATATGCTTTTCCTTGCTTAATCCATACTATCCTTTGAAGTAATTTGTATAAAATAGTCTTAATAATACTAGAAACAGGCTAGCTGAATGAGGTCTTTTTCATATGCCTAGACATTAGATAAAGGAAGAGGATAAGCAACTCGATGCCTCTTTAGTGTGGTCAAGGTGACATTGCTTTTCTTTCACCTTGGTTCTTTGTGATTTCAATAGGAAAGAGT